TTTTTATTTTACTGAAATAAGATCACACTGTATACACTGTTTGAAATCTGTCTTCCGATTTTTAAAACCTATCCCGAATGTTTTTCCATGCTTCTAAATATTTTTTTGTGATATCATTTTTGATGGCTGTGTACCAGTCACAATATGACTGGATTGTAATTGATTATTAAGCATATTAACCTTATATTTTACATATAGATCACAAATATTTTTCTCAGTCGCTTTTTGCGTTTTTACTTTATGGGGAGGCTGTCCTTTCGTCAGTTGGCGGTGGTCCAACGTAAACCAGCCGCCATCTCTCTGGGTAGCCATCTCGTAAATGGCATTTCCCGTGTGGGTGGGGCCCATGTCTATTTTGTGATTGCCAGTGCCTAGCCTGGTGCCTGGAGTGACATAAGCACTCAAAAACTATGCGTTGGCTGATTGACTAAGTTCTGACCTATATCCCTAGGGGCAAGGCCAGGTCACAATCACTGGGCTGCTGGCCTCTATTCCTGCCATGGAGCTGGTCAGTTGAGTAACCTACGTGAACTTTTGACTTAGTAATTCCCCTTCCAGGATGTATCCTAACAATTTTTCAGAGAGATACAGGCACAGATTTATATACAAGGATGTTCATCCCAGCTTTAGTTATAAGAGTGAAAAATTGGAAACTATTTCTAGCAATATGGAAATGATACATAATTATAAGATAGACAAACACTAATATGGGGTTTTGGAATGCTTTTTTGGCGATGTGAGAAAATTCTTATGATGCAATGGCATATGAAAAGCTCAGAATGTAAAATTATGTGTAGGATTTCTTATCTCTATTAAGACAAGCAGGAAATACACCAAACATGCTGGCAAGTGGTGTGTGAATTGGGAATGCTTTCAGCTCCAAGGAACAGAAAACCTAACTTACAGTGGCTTAAACGTAGAAGGGTTTATTTTTCTCTCCTATGTAGTCTGGAGGCGGGAGGCTGAGGGCCTGGTATCTGTGTGATTCTCTTTTCTTTATGGTCGTGAGATGGCTGTCCCGGCTCCAGGAAGCGTGTCTACACTTGGGTCAGGAAGGAGGAAGGGAAGTCACGCGGTACCTGCAGTGTCTGTCCTTTTGATCGGAACACCAAGAGCCTATCACGGTGCCCCAGCAAGTGTCTGCTTATTTCTCTTTGACCGGAATTGTGTCCCGTGGCTACCCCCAGGTATAAGGGAGCCTAGGAAAGCGAGTATTTAACTTCCCAGTGATGGGGAACAGGTGGTAGTATCTGTTAGGTTAGTTAATAACAGTGACTTCTACTGTGCTGCTTTCTGGTTGGTGGGCTTATGGGTGTTTTTACTTTTCTTCTTTATTCTTTTCTGTCTTGTCAAATTTTTCTACAGCAAGCATTTGTAATTTCTATCGTGGAAAAAATACAATAGCTATTGCTTTAAAAATCCCTGTGAGGTTGGGCTCCCATTTCTGGAAGTGTTCATATTATTATCAGTGAAAATTGTGCAGAAGGAAGGAATTATTGAATTCTGTGGGAGTTAGATTGACACCTCTATGTTCCCGAGTAGACTGTGACAGTCCCAGGGAATGGGTGGGTGGGAAATCTATCATTTGTTTAGCTGCTATCGGGCACCGTGTTAGTTACTTGGCAAACATCATCTCATTTAATTCGCTGCAGCCTTCCTTTACAGGTGAGAGGCAGACAGGATAAATAACTTAGTTGCATCATACTTCTTGCTTGGTAAAGCAAAGCTGATCTCGGAATATAGCACCAGCGTTTAATTTTGGATGTTCCTGCCACATAGTAAGCTTAGAAAGGTCGTGTGGAATGAATGAGGAGTTGATGAATCATTTGAATGTTTTTTAAAAAAT